ATTTCTGTGATTTGCCATCATGGTCCATGACTCAAGTCTCAAGCCCATTACACATCAATTATTAAACAGAATAATAAAATATGGGTTGGATGTAAAGATATAATATTTATATTATAGTTTAAGAAAAAAAAAATTAAATAGAAAAAAATATATAACAACAGGAGGCCAACGATGCATGCTATTATGGATTATTATTATTATATACAGTCAAATAAAATCGCGACTTATTTCATACAAAAAAGCTGATATCATACCAAAAACACTTCGTTATAACTCCGTATAATAAAAAAAGCTAAGTTAAAAAAAAAAAATTAGTAATGGTTAAATCTTTAAAAGACGTGATATAATATGGAAATTAAGTAAAATCCCATTTTATAATATTACAAATACCTATGATGACAAATAAGATCAATTGTAATGTTAAATACTTAGTCAACATATTATGTTTAACTATTTGACAGGACGTAGAAGTATACTTAAATAAATACAATTAAGTAACCACTACAATATAATTAATAATGTATCAACAATATGTTGACGAAGTATTTGTCATTACAATTGATCTTATTTGTCATCATAGGTATTTGTTATATTATAAAATGGCATTTTACTTCATTTCCATATTAAATCATAACTAATTTTAGATTCTGAGTGGAACGATGAATGTATTGATTTTACAATGATGTGTGTTTTTATATTTTTTTTTTTAATTTTTAATTTTTTTTTTTTTTTTTTTAATTTTTGTGTCTGTGTACACGATAAGTAGTCGAAATAATGCTTCGATTTTCGACTTCAGTATCTTGTTCGATTGGAAAGTGAATATCGTTGGTGCATTGAAGAGGTCAAAATTTAAAATTCCCAGTACTTTTCAAAAGCGCCAAGAAAAACAAAAGAAAAATTAAGGAAAAACGGGAATTTTTACGCAAAATCGATTTTTCAGAAAATTGAATTTGGTTTTTGATGTAACTTTAAAACAAATGACCGTAGATACATGAAATTTTCACTGGTTGTTCATATTTGAATTTTCTACATACGATAACATTTTCAAAATATTTTGATTTATTTTGAACTGTTTAGGGACATTTTCATTTTTCATTTTTTTTTAGTTTTTTTTCTAGAAATATCAATAAAATTTTATTTGTTGGTTAAAAAAACTTGAAAATTTAATAGAAGGCTCCTAGTATATTGTTTCAAAGGCAGATGAAAAATATTAAAAATCGTAAGTCACAGTTTTTTTTCATAAGCATTTAAAGTAATTGACAAAATATGGAAAAATCACGAAAATTAGCAAATTATTTTGAGTTAAAAATTTCGTAAAAAATTTTCTTTTTAAATCTAAATGCCAATTTGACACGGTCGAGAGGTGGATCCGTCTTGACGTGTCTTGGTGGTGGTCGGTGATGGGGGCAGTCTTGCGCCGGTCCCGTGGTTGAAGACTGAGTGCAAGGCCGTGTCAAGCAATTCAGCGCCCCGGGGCAATTTGCGCCCCTTCCTTACAATTTGGGCCACAGATAGCATATTAAACGCAAATAAAGGCGCCCCTTACTTTTACAAGACTAAGGCGCCCAGGGGCAATTACCCCCTTTGCCCCACCCCCCTTAACACGGCTCTGACTGAGTGGTTGGTGTGACACAGCACAGTACTCATGAAGAGAAAAAAAGAAAAGAATAACCCGTAGCGTTGGTTTATATGACCAACGGTCGTTTTTATTGTTGACGCACAATATTAATTATTTTACAAATATATTAAGTTAGAAAAAAGAACATATGCGGTGCGGTCTCGACGTGACGCCGTGTCGCAAAAAATAGAGAGGCGGTCGCCGGGTACCGGTTGTGCCGTTCCAGCACTCTACTGCCGTTTCCGGCCGGTGCGCTCGCGTGTCCTACCATGGACTGTTGGTTGGGAAAAGCAGGCGCATATTTTTTTTTTAATAAAAATATGAATATACAGGAAGGATTGATAAAAAAGATACTACTTAAAGGTATGACATTTTGAAAATTACATGGTCAGTAAATAAATTGAGAAATATATTTGTCACGAACTTCCCAAGAAAAATGATTATGTTCCAAATTAATTTTTAACAAAAAATATTGATATTTAAAAAATTCTAAAAAATAAACTACTTGACTGAAGTAAATGTTTTTACCATCAAAATTGTGCTTATAGCCAGATTTACAAATTGGCTATTTTGAATATTTCCAAAATAATTTAAACTAAATTTTAATTTTAATTTTATTACACTTGAAGCGCAAGTACCTATAAATTAAATATAAGAAAAAAATTTTAAATATTAATTAGGGCAAAAGTTAATTCATCTGTCAGGTCTTTCTGTTACATCCTGTATTTTATGATTCGTAGTGTAGTTAAATATTGAAAATGAAGATGTTATTGTTATTATAAATTATAAACTTACAGTATACCTAGTTAGTATTTACTTTGTACGTGTCTTGAATACATTGCATTTTTCAAGACTTTTCTGATGTGTCCGTGATTTGTTAAATTATGTGCTTGAGAATAGGCTTGGTTCAGATATCACGGTTTTTATTCGTTGTGTGTCATTAGTAAATGTTTTGTGTAATGAAATACTTCAGAAAATCCTTGATCGCACATTTTACATTTATACTGCGTTTTTTCGATATGTATCATATTATGCTTTGTTAATTGGTACATATCAGAAAAAGCCTGATCACAGAGATCACATTTATGCGGCGTATCCCCGGTATGTGTCTTTATATGCTTTTTTAATTGTATTTTTCGAGAATAGGCCTGGCCACAGATATCACATTTAAACGGCGTATCCTCGGTATGTGACTTTTTATGCATTTTTAGTTGAAATTTTTGAGAATAGGGTTTGTTACAGATATTGCATTTAAACAGGGGTTTTAATAATTTATGTGTCCTTGTATGCTTTTTAAAATTACTTGGATGAGAAAATGCTTGGTCACACATATCACATGCATACGGCTTCTCTCCAGTGTGTACCCTTTTGTGGTATTTTAAATAATTTGGTTGGGAAAAACTTCTAACACAAATATCACATTTAAACGGATTTTCTCCGGTATGTGTACTTGTATGCCTTTTTAAAAGGTGTTGATGTGAATAGGCTTGGCCGCAGATATTACATACATAAGGTTTTTCTCCAGTATGTATTCTTTTATGGTTTTTTAAATTATGTTCATGAAAAAAAAATTTATTACAAACATCACAATTAAAAGACTTTTCTCCGGTATGCGTCATTGTATGTCTTGTTAAGTCTGATGATCCTGAAAACCCTGCTTTGCAAATATCACAAATATACGGTTTTTTACCAGTATGTGTCCTGGTATGCCTTATTAAAATATGTTTTCCATAAAAGGCTCGATCACAGTTATTACATTTATACGGCTTGTCACCAGTGTGCGTTCTTTCATGGAGTCGGAGATTTGATGATGTAGAAATCATTTTACCACAGATATGACATAGATAATTGCTTTCTCTGGTATGACATTCCCTTGTATGCACTCTTAAATTAATTGCTTTTGAAAAGGCTTGATTACAGATATTACATTTATACGGCTTGTCAGTGGTGTGCATTTTTTCATGGAGTCTTAAATATGATAATGTAGATAACATTATACCACAGATATAACATTGATAATTCTTTTCTCTGGTATGACTTGCCCTTCTATGAGCTGTTAAATTAATTGCTTCTGAAAATGCTCGATCACAGATATTACATTTATACGTCTTTTCCTCGTTATGTGCCCTCGTATGCTCAGTTAAATTGGACGCTGTAGACATTTTATGACAAATATCAGTCAATGGATTTTCCCAAGCAGTTGGATGACTCGTCCAATAAGTAGGTTCATATAAGTAAAGTATTCTGAAGAGTTGTTATTGTTTAAACTTTAAAACTGTTCCTTTAAAATCATAACAGTCAATAAAAACCACTAGTTTTATATTACGGTATCATATGTTGACTTTTTCTTCAGTTTTAAATCTAAAAAAGTAAAATGAGGTATTTTAAAATTGTTAACCTTAATCAAATGAAGGAAAATAAATATAACAACATATGACGTAGAGTTTAATAATACATTTTATAGTCAATTTATATAGATCATAAGCCAATTTGTATATTCGAAAATATATTAGGAATGTCAAACACATATATTATATTATACTCTATTCAGAAGATCAGCCTTCGACGGCGACCAGTTTCCGTTTCGCGACTGTCAGACGTTATTCCCAATACGGCGGCGCGACATGAGCTGCCACGGAACAAAGCCACGTCCATGCGCACAACTCGGCCGCCAAATGTTGATCTTATCGTGTATACACAAAATATTTTATATATAATTATATAAATATATATTATGTAGTAATACAAAATTATAATGATTGGTGGAGCCACAGTCAACATTGATGTTGGTCCACTGTGCACGACGCACACGCTAGAGTCGGGGCCAAATGAATGTGCGGTTGGTGGCTCCGCCTACTTTTGCCGGCGACTAATTAGAACACATAGTTTTAGGTAACGTTCACACATGAATAGCACGGTTACTTTATTTTCAAATATACCGCCAGCAGCTGTTACTCACTATTCAGTGTGATATCGCCTAGTGGGCGGAGCCACCAACCGCACATTCGTTTAGCCCCGACTATAGTTGTCTTAACTGTAGCAGTCTAGTAGTCCAGTTGTATTTTATTATGAATTGTAAAAATTGTTTAAATTGTGATAAATAATAAAGTTGTAAGTTAAATAGGATACAAATTGCTTAATAAATTAATATTGATCCTGAAAACATTGGTAGTGATGATCTAAGTACTCTAGTGAGACCCCACTACAAATCTAAGAAGGGCGATTCGAATGACATATTTTTTTTTATTGTTCTCACCACGAATTCCTAATTTTGGACTCGAAAGTAAGTTAATCATGAGATATATTCCTGATTTATTCTTACAATTGAAGAATGGAAAATTGACAAATTGTTAAGCCGATTTGCAGTCAGTCGAGAATCGAGATGTCCGAACACAAGGTTTTACAAGGTACGGATAATGATAGCCTACAAAATTGTAATATAATTGAGTATGTGGTAGTTGATTGTAACCATAGTGTTTTTGACGCTAACGATACTGGTGCTAATGGTGCGACCACTGGTTCGATCTATTTTTTACCACCATTAAATACCACACCTACTGTACACAACAATCCACCTTCATCGAGGTCGACAAACAATATCAATGTTAACAACACCATGTCACAGCAATCAAATTTAAACCCTGATACGAATTCTGTTGTATTGGCGCTAATTGAGCAAAATCGGTTGCTTATTGAACAACTATTGCGCCGTTCCACATCGCTAAGTTCGAAGTCTGTTCAAAGTAGTGGATCAAATGGTTAATATGTAATGCCGGACTTCCATCAAACATTGGCGGAATTTGTCGGAACTGAGGCTTATACTGAATCATTCGATTGGATTAAAGGTATTAATTCGATCTTCATAATTGGCCAGATTCTTTCAAATTGGAAATAATACGGACCAAACTTTAGGGCGCTGCTCACAATTTCTATCTTGGTCGAAAATTTTCTAATTTGAAGAACTTCGAACGGCAATTTAAAGAAACTTTTATTAGTACCGAGACTTCGATTTTTGACCGTACAAAATTATTAATTGCTCGTCAACAACGAAAAGGCGGAACAATTGTAGAGTATTTTCACGGCAAGGTTCGTATGTGTCGTGAACTTGAACTTAACTTTGACAAATCTAAGCAACAGATTGCCGAAAGGGTATATTCTCGTGAATTGTGTTTGTATTTATTGAGCCGAAGTCATACTCATGAAAATTAACTTTTGAACAACATTGTTACGTTCACGGAAGTCAATGATTCTCGAACACAAGGTTCAAGAATCCTAGTCGTCCATTACATATGGAAGCACCAGCCAAAAATAATAACTCTCAAAATCACCTAAACCATCCACCCTAGATGTAAATTCCAAGCAGTCATTTTAAAAAGAACACGATGTTTCAATTGTGGATCATTCGACCACATTTAAACATCATGCACTAGATCAAAACGGAAAACAGTACCTTGTATCACTTGTGCGTCTGCAGATCACTAGATCACTTCCTGTCCGCAAGGTAAATCGAAGGTACGAGCAGTTAAGTCTCAAGATGGTTACAGTAGTCATGCAATGGTGCTGCACACAAAGGATATGGTAAAACCTGCATATTTTATTAATGTTGATATAAAAATTGCTGATAAGTATGTTTCAAATATTTTAATTTTTAACTATGATAGACACTGGTAGCCCAGTGAGTTTACTCAAAGAGAAATTGTCTCCAGTGGAATCTATTCCTTACATGCTTCCTGGAATTAAAGGGACTGAACTCATCATATTAAATCAGGCCTTTGTAGACATATATCGTCCTGATACTAGTGACCCAATAAATGTAAAATTGAATATTGTACCTGATAACACTATTAATTATGATTGTTTTTTAGGTGGGAATTTTTTGTCACATCCGAGAATTATATTTACTATTAATAATGGAGATTTTGGGATTGAAATTAAACGTAATGATATTATAACATGTCCGTATAATACGACTACGGATTAAGAAATCGGCACGCACTTATAACGGTAAAACGTAGGGTGTGTGACTTTATTATATGCCATCAGACTGCCAGAGAGAAGGAAAGGCAAAAAAGGGTATCAAATAATAATCTAGTTACCAGCCTCATGATAACCTTTTGATAAAGCCACCATTACCGAATTCAATCCGAGGGAGGATGCTATTACGCTATTAGAATTCAGGCAAGAAGTACTACCGAATATAAACAAAAAGTTTGATGAAATCCAATGTGAAATTGAACTTTTAAACTGTGATGATGACGAAAACGCTAGTCGTGAAAGATTATCTTTTGAGGGTGAGTATTTTGCAATCCGGTCAGAAATGCAAGAAATCATTAATTCGGAGAAACGAGATACATCATCGATGATGCATAATGTATCAACAAGTTCCACTGTGCATAATCAAAGAGCTAGACTTGCCCCGATATCACTACCAAGTTTCGAAGGTGACATACTAGAATGGGAGTCTTTCTTTGACTATTATAAGGCAATGGTGCACTACGATGATGGATATCCTTCAGCCCAGAAGTTCTCATTTCTCAGATCATCTCTGAAGGGACAAGCATTAGACATTATTAAGGGCATACCTATTACCGATGCTAATTATAATGTGGCAATAAAAAAGCTACAAGAACGATACGACAACAAAAGTTTGTTGATCCATCCAATCTCACATTCGTGCGATTTTTGATGCGCCACGGATGGAGGCCTGCCAGGCAAAGGAATTGCAGGGAATTTATTCAAGCATGTCCGCACACGTCGCAGCACTTGAAGCACTAGGTCAACCAGTCAACAGCTGGGATGCATGGCTTATAACAATTATTCTAAGAAAACTTGACCATGCAACCAGTCATGAATGGCAAGTGCGAAGAACCAACAGAGTTACCGGAATACAGTGAGCTGCAGCAATTTCTATCAAGCCGTTGTGTTGCATTGGAGAGTTCGGAAACACTCCGGAACACCAGCGATGAAGATAAACGTAAACCAGAAACCAGGAGTTTCTGTTTAAAAAGCAACGCTCATAATCACCCTAGAAAGGCTCTTTACACGGCTAGTCATAACGTTAAGTGTGAATGCTGTGCAGGCGAACATCGGATATACGCATGTAGCAAGTTCAAAGAAATTCCAGTGGGAAGTCGTGTACAGAAAGTTCGAGAAGTAAAGTTGTGCTTCAACTGCTTTTCAAACATGCATATGACAGATGTGTGCAAGTCAAGGTACAGCTGCCGCGTATGTAATGGTAGACACAATACGCTATTACACTACGAAAAGCAAGAACCTCAAGCCACAGTGAATGAAGAAGCTACCACTGAAAGGGTAGACAATCCAAGCGCGAAGGTGTTTTGTGCAGCTCAAAGAGTTAATCATGTCTTTCTAGCAACCGCTATAGTCTCAGTACTGGACCGTTATAGGGAAAAAAGACCATGTCGAATAGTATTGGATAGCGGGTCGCAAATAAACTTTGTCTCGAGGAAAATGGCCAAGCTATTAAATCTTGCTCGCGAGAAAGTCGAACTACCGGTAACTGGAATAGGAGCTAACCGGATTCATTCAACTGCGTGCGTTACCATAGATGTATTGTCCAGAATAATGGAATTTCAAGTTACACTAGTTTGTCACGCTCTACTTACCATTGTATATGACCTTTCCCCTCATGCGAGTGGTAAAGCCGATTGGAATATACCAAAGGAATTAAATTTATAGCTGGCTGATCCATTGTTTCATTCATCAGGACCGATAGACATGCTGATAGGCGGTGGCGTCTTTTTCGACATACTGGAAACTAGGCGTATTCGTTTGGGCACAGGCTCGCTGTGTTTGCAAGATACCAAATTTAGTTGGGTCATTACCGGAGAGGTTGGAGCAATATGCCTGTTAAAAGTTTAAATCTGTCAGCCAGTCACTAGAAGATGGATGGATTGCCATAGAAACTAGCAAAGACGTTAATTACAATGATTTGTCTAAAACGAACAAGAGGAGTCTGGAAGAAAGGGAAGCAGCAAGACACTTTCAAGAAACTGCAAAACGCGACCAAGGTGGTAGATTCGTGCTACGGTTACCATTAAAAGACGAAGTTACGAATTTAGGAGATTCTCTGAGGATGGCAACATCAAGGTTTTTAAGCGTGGAACGTAGACTACAGCAGGATGAATCCTTGAGAGAAGTATTTGTCAGCTTTATGAAGGAGGATGAAAACGCAGGACATATGCACGAGGTAAACAACAGTGAACCGGTAACCAATAACCTTTTTTATTTACCTCACCACCCAGTTGTAAAATTGTCAAGTTTAACAACGAAGTTACGAGTCGTTTTTGATGGGTCGGCCAAAAGTTCAACTGGAGTCTCACTTAATGATGTCCTTATGTATGGGCCCACAGTACAAGAAGAACTATTCAGCATATTGATACGATTTCAAACGCATCAGTATGTTATAACTGCTGATGTAGAGAAGATGTTTCGGCAAGTGGGAGTGTCCAAGGAAGATTAAGACTTGCAGCGTATAGTATGGCGGGAGAGACGAAGCGAGGTACTTCGCATCTATAGACTAGCAATAGTCACTTATGGTACTACTTCAGCATCCTTTATGGCTACTCAGTGTCTCGCATCGCTGGCTGAAGCAGAAAAGCTAAGATTTCCTAAGGCAGCGAAGGCAATACGTAGGGACTTCTATATGGACGACCTTATGACTGGAGCTGAGACTATAGATAAATGCAAGAGGTTACAGTCGCAAATCAGCATGGTTTTAGAGTCAGCCAAACTACCGCTCAGAAAATGGTGCCGAGATACCCAAAAGCGTAGAAGCAGCCGAAAATGAGCCATTATTCATAATCAAAATAGAAGCAGATGAGATAGTAAAATCTCTTGGGTTATGTTGGAAGCCAACGCAGGATGTGCTTGGATATCAAGCTATAATGCCAGCTAAGAGTCCAAGATGTACAAAAAGAATATTGTTATCTGACCTTAACAGGATTTTTGATCCTCTTGGTTTTTTGACATCTGTACTCACTAAAGGTGAAATATTCCTGCAACAACTGTGGCAAATAAAGATAGATTGGGACCAACCAATTCCGGACGAAATAAGGGAGAAGTGGCTTCGATTCTACAAACAGTTCAAGGAACTCGGAGCGTTAACGATTCCTAGGAAGTGCAAGCCAGTCATGAGCGATCATATTGAGGTGCATGGGTTTTGTGACGCTTCTGAAGAAGCTTATGGTGCATGCATCTATGTGCGAAGTAAAGACCAGAATGAACAGTGGTGTTCACGGCTATTATGTTCAAAATCAAGAGTAGCACCAGTCAAGGGAGCTACAATACCGCGTTTAGAACTTGGAGGCGCTCTGGTGTTAGCATAGTTGGCAGAAAAAGTAGCAGCAGCATGGGAATTAGATGTCAAAGATTTCCACCTCTGGACAGATTCCACGGTGGCATTGGGTTGGATCCAAAGTGAAGCAACTAGATTTAAAACCTACGTCGCGAATCGCGTAGATCAAATACTTGAGCTGACCAATGCACAACAATGGAGGCATGTCTGCAGACAATCCAGCTGACATACTATCCAGAGGAGTATTGGCACAAGAACTAAAAGTCTCCGAGTTATGGTGGAATGGACTACAGTGGTTGAGCCACAGCAATGATGGTTGGGAGCATTCAGTCACCACACTACCAGACGAAGAAACATTATCAGAAAGACGAGTGGTTAACCTCGTACTCACCACGATGGATCAGTCAATCGGATTAATCGAACACTATTCAAGTTGGCGTCGACTAGTGAGAGCCGTTGTCTGGTTTCTTAAATTTATAGATTTCCGAAGAACAAGGCAGATCGGCACTACAGCATGGTATTTAAGTGTATCGTATTTAAAGAAAGCCGAAACTAGTTTAATAAGGCAAGCACAGTTACAAAAATTCAATGAAGAATATATCTCGCTGAGCAAAAACAAGGAAGTATCAGGGCGTAGTAAATTAAAGGGACTACATCCGATGCGCCAAAGCGAAAACTTAATACTAGTTGGAGGACGACTGGCCAACTCCCAAATTGCAGAAAATCAAAAGCATCCTATTGTGTTACCTGCAACTCACAAAATTACCAGGCAAATTAACATAATAAATAACATTCATACATTTTTAAATGATAATAAAAATATTAACAAAAATGAAACAAAAATAAAAGACATGGTACAACCTAAAAATCAAAATCAAGCCAGCAATTTCACACACAAGAAATATAAACACTCGCTTCATTGATACGCGTTTTAAAACTTAAAGAAATGAAAAACAAAGATAAAAATACAACGATTAAAATAAATAAAATACAAATCACCTCGATCGAAAATCATACAAAAAGAAATAAAGAATTACCAAAATACCCCAACACACTAATTTGTATACAAACAAGAAAAAAAAAACAAATAATAAAAAGGTAAAACAAACCAGCATCCTTAATTCTTAAAAGTACCAGAAACATTAAGTCTATGATTCATAAATCACACAATTGTCAAATAAACAATAAAAATACTTGCTCTGACAAGTATCCAAACTATATATTATAAAAACAAAAAAAAATATTAATAAAAACTCTTATAGGAGACTCAACCATATTATCAACCTCTTATAGTGGAATAAAAAAAAAAAATCCCAAATAAATGTCTTGGTTTATTAATATAACTTTAAAAAAAAAAACCACAAACTATTACAAGACTAACCTATATAAACTACTATAAGAACTATTGTATAACTATTATATTAGAATTACAGAATAATAATAATAAATACAAATAACCTACTTTAAATAATTTAAATTAAAATAAGCATGAAAATAAATGTTAAAGCAAGCAAATGCATAAAAAAAGATGCAAAATAATTAACCTAATTTAAATTAGTATAAAATATAAAAAAAAAATTTTAAAGCAAGTCAATTCAAAGAATGGGTAAAAACATTTTAACCCAGGGATGGCCCAATCCAAATTAATCTTGCGGGTCACATATAGGGTTGCCAAAAAAAGGGGGTCATCAGCCAGTAAAAAATATTAATATAATCACATATTTTATTTATTATTCAAAATTATAAAAGTATTTTGCCCTAATATAAAAAAAATGGAGTTAACATTGCAAAACCACTATATGACCTTTTAAAGAAAGATGCAGTATTCTGCTTTGGTGAAGATAAGTTATTGAGGCTATCTTGTCGTATGCGCTCTACCGCCAACCATGACATTGCGACTGCAGTATGCGCTCTACCGTGTTTTGCCACTCTAGTGACTCTACAATTATATTTAGATTTTAGACAATAATTATTCTCGTAATAAGTGGGATGATGTAAAAGTGGTTTTAATGAAGATCTGGAGCAATGAAGCAAATCTAGAGTTGTACCACACATATTTTTCACAATTTTTAGCCTCAGAGGCCGCCATAAACTTTCAATCCTTTGGGTATGTGCCTTTGATATGGGATCTACGCAATTAACGTAAAACGACTTAGTGATTGTACCCGTGGTTCGAGAGTCCATTATACCCTCACCAGCTATCGGAATATATTGTAGACCCAACAATAACCTATCTTTGTATAATTTAGTGCAAAGTCATTTTGTCCCTTTTTTGGACAACGATAGCCGAATACCCATGGTCCATCAAGCCGTCTTCCATAGTTTCTTGTTCCGTTTTCTAGAGGATCAACGTCTAAATATGTGATCAAAAATTAATGATGCAGGAAAAGAGAGTCCTAATCTTTATTACAAATTGCATGGTAGAGCGCATATAATAAGTGTCCCGTAATCACAGGTAGGCCACAATCTGGGGTAGAGCGCATACGACAAGATAGTTATTATAGACCGTTATTGAATACAAAGTTGCTTATAAGTGATAAGTGAAACTTAAAAAAAAATGTTGAGCGTAAAATTAAATTAATTTTTTGATAAGCATCTTAAAATTTGAAAATTATTTTGAATTAGAAATTCATAGAAATTGTATTTTTTACTTAATATTCAAAAATGTAATACTAGAATATTTAACATCAGTTTTTCCACATTTAAAAAAAATTAAGTTTACAGGAAATGTATTTCACAGGGACCGTTTTCATTAATTTATTTATTATTAATAAATGCCTATTTGAGCAATTTTATAGTTTTTCTAATTTGGATATAATTCAAAAACAATTAACCTTAGACATACTTAAAACTTTCACCGAATATTTATGTTAGCATTTTCTATAAACCATAAAATTTACTTCAAAATATTTTGACACTTTTTGAGCTATTTGTGGGCAAAAGATATATTATTGTGCTTAAAACGAAGGTGTGATTTAAAATTGATTATATTATTGTGTACGTATTATAAATTATCTTTAAGTAAAATAATTGAGTTACTCACGTCGTATACACGACGTATATAAACCAAATTATACAAAATGTTCAAATGTACTATAATAGTTGTATTTGCAATGAAAAAATTAGAAATTATATCAAAATTAAAATCATACCAAAGCCATAAGCACAAGAAAACACTTAAGATTACATAAAAAAATATTATCCTTAATCATGAAATTTAATATTATTTACACTATGATTTAAATTTAATATTCATACCTTATTTGAAATAACGGACTACCATTGTTATTGACGGTTTCTTCAATATTTTCCCGTTTAATAATTCCACCAAAATATATTATTCTTGATCATCACATCTAATAAGTGAGATTAATAACACTGTGTATTATAATCATTATACCTAAAAGAAATTACAAAAAAATTGTTTTTTTTATTAGCCACTAATTATACGTTACTAATGTATCAGCTTGTGTATCAGTTAGATGCAATGCATTATTCTTATTATGTATAAAAGTGTCTTAGTCTTATAATAAAGTTTACATTGCAGTTATTAATTATATAGCAATATGGTTTTTCTTTTAACAATAATTGATGGGCCCAGTCATCCTGTCCTGGTTATGTAATAATATATAAAAAAAAAAACATTTGTTTTCGGTTGTTGCTTAAGTTTCAATTTTTTTTTTTTTTTTGAAATGGAAGATGGCAAATTTTCCGGAATCCTGTTTCTACTGTTCCACTATCTAACTGTTCTGAATCAAAACTGGTGGGTTGTATTTGGTTTTTTTGAAGAATGTTTTCTTAAATAATTATGATGATGAACACAAGCCAATAATATTTTATCAACTTTTTACAGTTGCAATAGCAATAGGTTTTCGAAATACTCTAAATATTGACGCCATTATACCAAATATGTTTTCTACAACTCTCCTAGCACGACTGAGACGATAATTGAAAGTCAGAGAAGTTGGCTGCAAAATATAAAAATGTTGGCTCCAAATTTTGTCAAAAATGTGTAAGTCATTTGTAAGTTTATGTAAGCACAATTTAGTTATTTCGTTGTGATTGTATAATATTATTCGTGGGTACTTGAAACTTCTAAAGTATACTACTATATATCTATGATAGTATCAGGGTTTGTTGTTGGTGTATAACGCGTTATAAGTACCTAATGGATATTGTGATATAATTAATTTGGAATTCATTATAGGTCAATTTTTTTATTACCATAGATAAGTATATAATATGTCTTATACCTAGAAGGACATACCGTCTCCCCTCAGAATCATTTTTCTTATACAATGATATAATATCATTGAATTCAAATGTAATACCATCCATTATACAGTGACCCACTTGTAACCTACTGTACAGCAGAGCGACACCCACTTGCCCACCTTTTTAATTTAACTAGGCATTTTTTTTATTAATTTACTTATTTTCCATAAAAATCTAACAAAACCTATACCTATAGAATAAACAATCGAAAATTAAAAAAAAAACCTGAATAGGATAAAAATGGGGGGTAAACCACGAGTGGAAGTAGGTGTACAAATTTTAGGAAATACTTTGGAAGTACAAGAAAGTACTTGGAAGTACATGGAAGTACACGGAAGTACATTGAAGTACACGGAAGTACGTAGAAGTACAAGGAAGTACACGGAAGTACATGGAAGTACACGGAAGTATGATGAATTATATGGACACATAAGTAATTATATGAAATTATATGTATACGGCGGCTGTTATAGAGAAATATTTCATCTTATAAAAAGTATTAACCACAGACATGATCATTTGTAAAAAAAAGTGAGCTGTCACGGGAGGCCTGGCAGTTGTAAAACATCGAAATTATTTTTAATAGAAAATATGCATGCAAATTTAAAGAATAGTTTGTTAAAGAAAATAAACATAGCATAATCAAAACATTCAAAACAAACAAAATATTCTGATTTTGTTAAGAAAAATTATTCTTTATTTTAAAGGCTCATAGACGTGTTCTTACACGCGCTCGCGTGAATTGCAAGTGTAGGCATGTAGCAACATGTCACCACACTAACAGCATGTCTCCCCGCTCCATATTAGATGGTTCACATCAAAAATAGAATATTTGATAAACAAAATCCCTATGATTCTTCAATAACAGCAGTTTTTGCGCAATTCATTATTTGTGTATTTAGACTTTTGAGTTGAATAATTTTAGTTGGTGTCTGTTGTTACTCCAGTTGTTACCTACACCTTGCAGTATACAACAAGTTTATTTTGGTAAGTCTTATGTTGCTACTTATTTATATTAGTATATTAGTTTAGTACCTATATGTATTTATTTTTCAAACGGCAAGTTAATATAAAATTAATACAAAATATTTTACCGAGACTTGTTAAAACTGAAACCTTAAATGTTTTTAGTGTCAAATACACTACAATCAAAATTTAAAAATTTAAAACAGCCTAGTTTGGCTTATTATGTTAAAGTCTAACAGTTAGACAATATGATCTACAAGATATATTATATTAAATATAAAAAAATATGTGAAAATAAATGTTCATAACTGGGTAATTTACTTACAAAAACAATAAAATAAAAACTATTCAGATTTATTTCCATAAATGAAATATTACTTATTTTAATTTGCAAGGCTTTATTTCAGTTTTAAATAATTTAAATCTCATTTATGTAAAAAACACTAGGTATAATATTATAAATTACAATAATTTAAGTGGGATCTAAGTTAACAATTGAATATGGGATTGAATATTTATAATGCAGTGTTTACTATAAACTTATGTATAATCAGCCTAAAATCTTTCATCTTAACTTAAATATATTATAATACTTGAAAGTTTGGTAAATAATGGGTAAACAATTTCAATCCAATACTATATGAGATGTTATATTATAGATTGTAAATTAAAAATGTAAAACAATCATCAATTTTTACAAGTCAAGACATTTCCAAATGCAAATGGACCATACAATTATGCATATACTATTAATCAAACTTACTGATATAATTCATATCATATTCATAAAAATTTTAGCTATCATAACATTATTTAGTTATATTCGTTAAACATAAATCATAATCCAATGGCTTATCGCACAAAATTGAAATTATACAGTAGAGCTAATTTTGATTTTGATCTTCTTTAAACACACTTAACTTAAGTTGCATTTAATCAATTAAAATCAACTTAAAAATACTACATGTATCTAGTTTTGTTTTAATTTATTTATTTAATTCATGTAACATTTAGTTACATTTGTTAATGATATTTTTTTAAAAACAAAATGAACTTAATATTTGATAAATATAGATGTATAGATAATTATTTGGCAAAATTAATTTTCATTAAAATGACTTAAAACTGTGCTTAAAACAATAACATCTTGTAAACAAATATTATTATATTATTTAATTTTCATAAAACCTTAAAAAACTCATAAGACAAGGAAACAATTGATTTAAGCTATTAAATACCTATCTTAATATAAATACTGTAAGGAGGTATCTTGGCCCTTGGGTATATATCTACAAGTTTGTGTATATTATGAACTATTTGCATACATGTTTATTACCCACTATGTAATATAAAAGACTTGGTATAACAACCAGACCACAATAGAATTTTTTGATAATTCAGGAGGGGAAAATGCATTGATGTTTAAAAAAAAACCATAACATGTTTATTTAAAATGTTTTTTATCAAATTTATAGTTTCATTAATTTAACTTTAAATCTACAGATTAGTTTTAAAGTTGCAATATACATTAACTTACTTATTTATTAAAAGCTATGTTTGTTACATTTCATTGTCATATTTATTTTCAAGACCTAAATATAAATTAGCTTACCTATAAATCTTGATTTTTTAAGTAAATATAAATAATATCATCTATATTTGAATCTATATTAATTAATATTATTTTTTTATAAAAAAAAATTGAACAATTTGTTTGTTTTATAAAACTAGTTAAAAGTAAATATCTTGTTTAGGAAGTTTAAAATTGTTTGGGATGGATATGATAATGAATGATGCAAATGATGCTTATGACAGCCAATTTTCAAAAGATGTATGTCCATTCGAAGAAGCTGAAAAATACTTAAACTCGTCACTGCCTGCTAATATAAAAAAAATATTCATTGCAAACGGATTTTCAAATCATTTAATAATATCAAAAATAAATGATAGTGATATTGAATCAACTGAACTATTTGCTAGGGACTTATTACCAGATCTGATAGACGAGGATGAATATTCTGAATATTATGGTATATTTAAAAAAAATGTAAAAAAATTTCAAATTTTAACAGGATACAAAAAACTTTTAATGTGCATTTCGGATTTCTATAAAGAAAAGTTGGCTAAAAAAAACACTACCCAACTTGTAGCACCAAAAAGTAAAAAAAAAGCCATTAATAGTATACAATCACTCAATGAAGTTGATGATGTACCTTCTTCCAAAAAGTGTCGAGTGCAAGTTTTAAATGTGGATTTACCAACAGAAAGAGCTGTTGTGCTAAAAAGAATAACTGACTGGGTAAACCTAAATTGTATGGATATATTTAATGACAAAGAGCTAAATATAACGTTGCATATTGAAAATAAAATTGTAAATAATACTGATGATGATGAATCAAATAATGAAAATGATATTGTTGCAACAGTGTTATGTTTTGTATGCAAATTACCAGTTAAAATATTGAAATTAGCAAGTCCGGGACATCCAAAAAGATGGGTATTTTCAAACTATTATAAACATGTAAAAATACACAAGGGAAAATCTACAGCTACTAGTACTAGAAGAGACGAAAACAAAACAATACAGACCATCGATAAATTTATTAGTTGTGTGCCTAAAAAAATATTACCAATCACATCATCAACCAACCAACCAGAAGTCATGTCAAACATTGTAAAACCATCTAGTTCAATTGAAAATCAACAGGATTTTCATGAATGCAGAGTTATTGAGGCGGATAATTCTTGTGTTTTAATCGTTCAAACGCCCAATACATTCAATGCAGTTGTTAATACTGAAGTTGAAGTTACAAAATCTGAATCAAAATGGACTAAAGCAAAATATCAAAGATGTGAACGAGAAAAACGGCGCAGAGAAAGAACTTTATTGCATGATAAATTACCCCAACCACTAATCACAAATTTCTTTCCACTACTTGATAAAGTGAGTAAACTTATAGATGAGAACACAAATTTACGTAACCTTTTTATTAAGAGTATTGAAGATAATAAAACATTAACTCTAGACAAAAAAGTACTAGATTCAAATACTTTACTAAAATGTTTGTATGAATGTGCATCAAAAAATCAACTGAATACTAAAAACAATAACAGATTTGATGAACAGCTAAAAAAGTTTTCTGTTTACTTATTCATTGTAGGAGGGAGACTACTTTATGAGACTTTACACAAAAATATGAATGATGCTTTGCCTTCAATTTCTACACTATTTCGTTTTCTTGATAACACTCAAAATAATGTAACTGAAGGTTGTTTTAGATTTGAAGAGTTGAGAGTATTTCTAATTAAAAGAAATCTGCCTCCTAAAATATGGATTAGTGAAGATGCAACAAGGATAACAGGAAAAATTGAATATGATACTAAGTCCAATAAAGTAATTGGTTTTGTTTTGCCTCTTGAAAATGGTTGTCCACTGTATGATTCTTTTCCAGCAACTTCGGCAAAAAGAATTACAGAATACTTTCAAACCGGAATTCGGGCAAATTATGCCTATGTTATAATGGCACAATCACTAGATGACAAGGCTCCGCCATTTTGTGTTGCAATTTATGGAACAGATAATCGCTTCACAAATGAAGATGTAATAAGTCGTTGGAACTTTATGAAACTTGCAGCCGCTAGTCAAGGAATTGAAATTATTGGTTTCTCATCTGATGGAGATACTCGATTACTGAAAGCAATGCAATTACAAAGTTTATCCCCCAGTTTATCCATATACGCTAAAGAAAGTAATTTAAATGTTGATGTATTGAATGACACAATTGAAACAGCTGAAACAGCAAATGATTGGTCGTGGTTTTCAATTGGGCATCCACCAATCGTATTCAAAGATGAAACTAACCAAGAAATATACATTCAAGATACTGTACATATTGGAACAAAACTTCGAACCCGATTCCTCAAACCTAATATTGTTCTTCCAATGGGAACCTACTTTGCCTCTGTAGATCATCTCATAGAATTAACAAGAAACTATACAAAAGATAAACATTTATTAACCATGACAGATCTTAAACCAGAGGACAAAATGAATTTTCAATCGGCCCAAAAAATGTGCTCTACCAAAGTTTTAGAAATCTTAAGTCAACTTCCAGATACAAATGCAACAGTGGCATATTTATCTGTTATGAACTATATTTTAGCATCTTTTTTAGATAAAGAATTAAATGTTGAAGAAAGAATATATAAAATATGGTTCAGTGTTTTTTTTTTGAGAATCTGGAGAGCATGGTTAAAAAATAAAAAAGAGTTCACTATTGGTAATAACTTTATTACTAATAATTGTTATAACTGTGTTGAAATTAATGCGCATTCTTTGATAAGGCTAGTAGTTAAATTTAGAAACGATACAAATCTAACTGCTGACATGTTTACTATTTGGAATTTCAGCAGTCAAACATGTGAACAATTTTTTAGAGCAACTAGATCTCTAACAACAACATTTTCAACTGTAGTAAATTTTTCTATGAAAGGCATTATTTCTAGGCTAAAACGTATTGAAACTATTAATACTATAAAAACTGAATTAAAAAATGCATCTTCAGGTATTACTTTTGCCCGAGAAAAAAACACAAAATCCATACCACCATATACTAATTTTACTATTTATACTGAAAATAATATTGTAAGTATAATTAACAGGAGCTGCAATGATGCTAAGTATATGGCAAAAAATCTTGGAATGAGTATAGATGATGATATAATTATGATGCAAAGACCTCTAATTACTAAAAAATTTGAAGATGAAACTCGTGCTGATATAGAAACTTCTGATGAAGAATCATCATATACAAATGTAGAGTTGTGTTCAGTCCAAGAATCTGTTGATCATTCTTCAGAAGAAATAGAATTTGATGCTGCTGAAGACTTAGACAACTTATTAATACTGGAAAACTGTGGAATGGGACTTAATTTAAAAGATTTTAGTAAGCAATTTATGAACGATGATGATTTGAGCATTTCTAAAATACCTATTAGTTCACCATTTGTAAATGTAATATTGGCTAATAAGACATCAATGATAATAAAAAAATCTTCACTTTGTTGGCTTTTGGAACAACCACGCGACCGAGTTAGTAGTGATAGGTTAAGAAGATTTATTAATACTTCCAATAGTAGACCACATCAATCTATTTCCTTTAAAGAAAAGGCTAGAGTAAAAAAAAAAAAAGTCACATGTGAAGCAAGTATAGAAAAGTCTGCTGAGGACAGTTCCTCACAATCTAGTGACCAACAATTAATTTTAAACGACGACCCTAGTTCTGAAAATGTTGATAGCAGTGATGATGAAAAAAATACAGAGACAATAAATATTAATATTGAACATTATTATGCTGTTATATATGACAATGGATGGTATATTGGACGAGTAATTAATATTAATGAAAACCAATATACAATAAAATTTTTAAAAGAGGAATTGGACAAATTCAAATGGCCTACCAATGATGACATTCAAGTTGTACCAAGGAAATATATATTTTATGGGCCTATCGAATTGATCGGGTTCAGCCCATTTGAAATAAAAAGATCAGAGAAACTAAAAATTATAAAAATGTACAAACAATTAAAATAACATTAATTTAAATATTCTACCATTATATTATTATTATTAATATTAAATTATGTTTTACTTTCTTATTCAGTTCATATTTGTTGTTAAAATTGTATTTTGTTTTATTTTTTAATTTTTTCTATTAAATTACAGTATGTAACGATTGTATCAACTGTTTTTAAAATAAAGTGTTCTATTTTTTTCGTTCGAATCAAATTATGTAATATTTATTGGATTATTTATGATTTTATGAACTCATTGATCTATGTTATAATAAATCCCATACTAAATATCTATTTAATTTCACCACTTAGATTGATCATGAATTTTAAATTTTAAATTTTACTATACATAATATATATACATTTTATTATAGGTAGATAATATAATATTTAGAAGTAAACTAGGACTCTGTGTTTTTCAATCTTTTTATATCATGACCAATATTTATCCCCGAATATCTTTTGTGGCCATAGATAATATAAGAATGTTATATTATCTATATTATCTATGATCGTGACCCACAATCCACATTATTAATTTTTCACTAATGATGTATGGACAATATAATTTGTTCCAACAAACATTATAGTACCTACTACCTATGTACTGATAATACAGCGTAGCTTACACTGATTTAATTAAATAATTTTTTATAGAATCTTAAAATGTAGGTATGTACAAACTACAAAGATATTATCATAAGGAAGAAGTATTAAAAAGTGCATGACAAAAGAATTAAAAAGAAAGTCCATGAAAGTATGTATACACCAAGGTAGAAACATATGGAAGTTAAAATAAATATAGAGAAGAACACAGACATTGGTTTGTATTTAGAGTTTTAAGGAAGTATATGTAAGTACTGAGAAATATATGAAAGTACTGGGAAGTATATTAAAAAACTGGGAAATATATGGAAGTACTGGGAAGTATATTAAGGAACTGGGAAGTACATGGGAGTACTTGGAAGTACGTGGAAGTACGTGGAAGTACAAGGAAGTACACGGAAATACATGGAAGTACGTGGAAGTACACGGAAGTACCCATTCTTGGAAGTCTAGTGTACAAAATATTGACTCGTGGTTTACCCCCCAGATAAAAATCTAAAAGGATAAAAAACACTGAATAAAAAATTTATATTTAATAAAAAATAAAAAGTAAAAAATAAATCCCAGTAGAATTAAAAAAATATCTTAATAGGATAAAAAAATCTTACTATATTATTATTTTTATATACCTATTGATCTTATATTTTTTTTTTAATTTCACTGGGCTCCTTTATTAATATTTAATTTTTTATTAAATATCAATTTTTTCTTCAACTAATTTATTATCCTATTTAGGTGTTTTAGATTTAAGTTTGTTTTTCTACTAGGGTTTTTTAATTTAAATAAAAATTTTTTTATTAAAATAAATTTTATTTAAGATCAATTTTTATTTAGCTGATTTTTTTATATTTTTTTAATTTAACTAGGCTTTTTTTTATTAATTATCGACTAACTTCTTTTGGAAATAAATAAGGTAGGAATGACTTACAAATTTTAAAGTCATGCTTACAAATACTTATAAATTGTCAACAACATTTTGGCATATTCAAAATTTTGATCATGTTTTGTTTAATTTTTACTCAGCTCAGTATGGACACATGTCTTGTTTGTGTTTTATTTTTTTCAAACTTCAAAAAGAAGGGAGGGAAGAAGGGTTTGTATTTTGTTTTTGTTTTGTTTCTGTGTCGTCTCTATGTGGACCCGGCTTTACAATTACGTTACTCTTATGATATTTAAGTTTCATAAAAAAAAAAGTCTATTTTAAATCAATCTTTTTTTATATTTATTTTATACAATAATGCATTTTCAAAATTTTGATCAGTTAATTTAGTTTGTTTTTTGTACAAATATCTACAGCTACACTAAAGAGCCTTTCAACAGAAGCGCTAAAAGGGAGTGAGGTATTGAACTTCACAAAAATTTGTTCAGTTAAATTAAAAAATAATACAAAATTGTTTATTTATATAATTATATTAGATTATACTGGGAAAATTTTGCAATTACATAAATACCTTCTTAATTTATTAATATAATTACATTTTCTGATGCGGCAATGATGGGAAGGAGACTGCTCCGTGAACAGCACCCCTCCCCCCTCTCAAAAAAAAAAAGTTAAATTTATAATGTAACGCGTTATTCTGCTAAGTTACTCTCTTGCGATACCCAAAAATAATAATAACCAAGTTACCATAACGTTACTGAAAAGTATAACTACGTTACATTAACAAGTAACGCACGTTACGTTACTACCCAACACTGTATATGAAGATAATCAAAGCTGCATAAAATTAACATCAAACCCTGAATACCATAAACGTACCAAACATATTAATATAAAGCATCACTACATTCGAAAAAAAGTTCAAGACGAAACAGTGCAGTTAAAATATATTCATACAACTGATCCAGAAGCTGATATGCTGACAAAGTGACTGCCTACAAGTAAATTTAAGAATAATTTGTTAAAAATTGGATTACACATTTAATATTTCTGTTGTTTATATTATATTATTAAGTTTTTTTTTTTGTTTAATGCAGGAATTGAAGGGGAGTGTTGAAGTTAGACACAATTCCTTTATGTTATTATCTAACTAATTCTATGTTATGTTATTATATTACTTTTGAATTAAGATGTTCAATTTTTTTTTAATGCGTTATGCAGTCACTTAGACCATGATGTCATGAAAATCAAATTATTCTTATTATGTACAAAAGTGTCTTGGTCTTATAATAAAGTTTACATTGCAGTTATTAATTATATAGCAATATGTTTTTTCTTTTTAAAACAATAGTTATAATGTATTTTCTCACTTGGAATTTATCTCACGATCATCAGCAAGTTGTTCTTCTCTATGGTTCTCGATTGAATATTTGAATTATGTCCTCTTTATGGTTTGTATTTCGATTATGTACTGTGAACACGAGCCGTTGAAGCCAATACGGCAATATTTACTATTTACTATTTAGCTATAATAAATAAGTATGTTTGTCGCGTGACGTGTAATTATGTTGTTGATAGTGGTCTTATCACGAGTCACTGCAGTGCCGCCAACGGTGCTACCAGCTGTCGTGTGCTGACCGCCCATAGTTTAAACATCGGTTACGCTTTCATTATACACGTAAGCGTGTACGTGCCATAGACCTATTAACTAGTTAATAGGTCTATGGTACGTGCATACAAATCCTTAGCTGTGATTTGTCGGTTAGGATCAGATACCACACGATTAACCACGATACCGTGTTGTTGGACATAGCCATGAACATTAGTGGAAGGACGCCGAACACAGCAGAACGAAGCGTAAAAACATGGTCCGGAATTATCGCATTCCGCCAGAATGCGCGTCGGACCGTAATGATGTCGTTCTTACATGTACAGCATAGGGAATTTATTGGTTTTTTAATATTATATTCTAAATGGTGTAACTTATGAATAATTACTATAGAACATTTTTTTAAAACCAAATTGCCCTCGATCGAATATAAGTGTTTCCAATAATATACGACTTTTATAAAAAGAGACAACAACTATATCTTTTTTTAGGTCCTAGTAAATATGATATTATTCAAGTTACCATTGTAATAAGATAGGTAATGATTAAAAATGTAAAATAAATGACAATGCCAACACAACATTTATATTTTATTAATTATACTATTCTAAATAATGAACAAGATTGATAGAGCTATATTTGTAGCTTATCGTTTGGGCTGTGAAGGCAACTTCTTTTTATTATAATAGAAATCTGAACGCCAGCCAACATTTGGTGACCTCGACTTATCCTAAATTTTTAATTATTGGGTAGTTCAACATGAAAATGACAGGGGGTAAACCACAAGCGGAAGTAGGTGTACAAATATTAGGAAATATATATATATATAGGTAATTTATATATAACCTATTTACGTGGAACCTTGTTTTAAATTTTTAATCCTTAGCTATAAAAGTTGTACATTTTATACATTTTTAACTACAAAATAATTATTAAATTTTGTCGAAATTCAAACTTTAAATGCTTATAAAAATAAAAACTATGACCATGCATTTCTAATATTTTTTAACTGCTGCTGTAATAATACATCAGGAGCTTGGCATTACATTTTCATGCTTTTTTTACACAACAAATAAAATTTAATTGATATTTATAGAAATACTAAAAAAATTTGAAACTGAAAATGTCCGTAAAGAGCTCAAAAAGAGTCAAAATATTTTCAAATTTATATGGTGTATAGGAAATGCTAATATAAACATTCAGTGAAATTTTAAAGTATCTATAGAGGCAATCGTTTTTTAATTACAACAAAATAAGAAAATTGTTACATGAGAAATCGAGTGAATATCAAATGTTGTAAAAATATAAATTTCAAACGCTCATAAAAATTTAATTTGACTTTCCTATATAAATTTTTTTTGATAAAAGTAAAAAAACTTATGAGGAATCTTGTATTACACTTTCAAATCTTAGAGTTAAAAAGAAAATTTTTTATGAATTTCCAACTCAAAATAATTTGAAAATTTTCGTTATTTTTACGTATTTTGTCAATACTTGAACATTAAATGCTTATTAAGAAAATTGTGACTATACATTTTTAATTTTTAGATTCTGAGTAGAATGATGAATGTATTGATTTTATAATGATGTGAGTTTTTTTTTGTGTGTCTGTGTACACGATAAGTAGTCGAATGGAAAGTGAATATTGTTGGTGCACTCTGGAGGTCAAGGCTCCTAGTATATTTTTTCAAAGGCAGATGAAAAATATTAAAAAACCTTAGGCACAGTTTTTTTTTATAAGCATTGAAAGTCCAAAAATTGACAAAATATAAAAAAATCACGAAAATTAACAAATTATTTTGAGTTAAGAATTCGTAAAAATTTTTGTGTTTAAATCTAAGATTTTAAAATGTAATACTGATACAAGATTCCTTATAAGATTATCCACCTTTATCAAGAAATAAATGTCAATAAGAAAGTTAAATTAAATTTTTATGAGCGTTTTAAATTCAAATTTTTACAATATTGGACATTCACTCAATTTCTCTTGTAGCGATTTCCTTATTTTGTTGTAATTCAAAAACAAATAACTGTAGATACATGAAAATTTCACTGAATGTTTATATTAGCATTTCCTATACACCATACAGTTTTGAAAATATTTTGACTCTTTTTGAGCTGTTTACGGACATTTTCAGTTTTCTATTATTTTAGTTTTTTTTTCTAAAAGATCGAATTTTGACAAACTTTATCAAATTTAAAATTGTATAATTATTTTGTAGTTAAAAATGTATAAAATGTTCAACTTTTATATCTAAGGATTGAAAATTTAAAACAAGATTCCACGTAAGTATTTTATTCTGTTACCAAAAAATCTAAAAATACATAAGCACAGTTTATTTTTATAGCCATTTTAAGTTCAAATTTGGACGAAATTACATAATAAAAATCTAGAATTATTATTTTAGTTATTTTGTTGTGATTGTATAATATTATTCATGGGTACTTGAAATTTCTAAAGTACATCATTATATTATATCTATGATATATTTTCAGGGTTTGTTGTTGATGTATAACGCGTTATAAGTACCTAATGGATATTGTGATATGATTAATTTGGAATTTATTATAGGTACCTATAATAGGTCAATTTTTTTTAATACCATAGTTAAGTATATAAAGCCGCGTACACTCTTGTAACATTTGCACGTAACGTAACATATAGGCGCGTAACAGCAATCGATGTGTGGATATGAAGGCGTAAGAATGCCGCGTAACAAACGTTGATACGCGACAAAGTTGCCCCTCATCCCACAAGTTGTTGGTAAATTTGAATCGCATCAAAGGATTGTTGCGAGGTGGGGATATGAATAGGGTGGACATAAATAATAACGCAACAACAAATTTTTTGTATTTTGATTTCTGACAGTCACGCTACACGCTTTATCGTAAAAACACTGTTGTCTGTTCATTAATATTTGTGACTATAATTATTTCAATATGGAGTGGAACAAAGAAAATACAATCCAATTTATTGAATTGTATTAAAAAAAAACCGTTAATTTGGCATGCAAAACACTTAACACTCTCAATACTATAATAAAATCAAAAGAAATTATGCTTTGGAACAGATAGCAAAAGAAATTGGATGTACTGCTGATGAATGTAGGAAAAAAATGAATAGCTTGTTATCTGCTATGAGAAGACAAAAGGCAGAAATTAAAAAAAGTTTTGGAATAGGGAAAGGTAAGAAAAATTACATGTAAAAGTGTACAAGCATATGAAGTATCTTCAGGATAAGGATACACCTATTCAAACAATAAGTTCTGTGAGCATAAAATAGTTTATATTTTATGTTATTAGGAATAAGTTTAAGTTATGTTAGTAATTAGTACATATTAAAATACTTAATATACTAATACTTTAAATCTAAATTAAGACATTCAAAATAAAAACAAAAAAATTTAAAGTAAAAACTAAAAATAATCAATAGTACTGTAGATATCGTTGAAAAATAGATGGAAATTTTGTTATACCTAAATAATATCACGGAAAAAAAGTTATTTTTACTAATTTTATGTTTAATTTAATCATAATTGCTCCCATGCCCCCCTTGTATCCGCGCCTGACTTACTAGAAGCAAGGTTTAGTAAAATATTAGATTTATGAAAATATTGCTTAAAAAAAATAAGTGCATTAAGTTCCGTTAATTATTATAGTTATTGAAACAATGAAACTACACTAGATAATAGTAATTTTTTTCCTTGATAACGACCACTATACGAATACATTACTATAAAAAAATAAAAATAAAATAATTACTATAATAATATTATTTATTATATTTTAAATTTTAAACAGATACAGATTGAAGAAGAAATGGACATACATAATATCCCAGAGACAGAAATTGATGTAAACATACCTTTTACAAGCTCATCACTACCACAGTACCACCACCGAGTCTTTCAACACCGACTCCACCGTCCTCAAAAAAAAAGAAAAAATCTAGAAGATCATCACTTAGATAAAGCTTTTGGGCTTTTAACTGCTGCAGCTTCCGTTACAAATTCTGACGAACAACAAAATTTTGGCAATTTAGTGGCAAACAAATTAAAAAAATACTGGGCTGGAACACAAAATGCAATTCAACATGCTTGGGTATCTTTCTGAATGCAGATAATGGAATGTACAAACAGCCTTTGCCGTATACTTTTGATTATCCTTCACGCTCAACAACATCAAACATGTCTTAGGTTTCTAATTTGTCATCCACTTACTCCACTCCAATACCAACTCCTCCAGAATCTTTACAAGTTCATTAACCTCAAGTAGACGAGGAAGACATTTTAAACTTTTCAATATTACAATAAAATTGTTTTTTTATACTTCGAGTAACACAATTTTAAATAAGTTAATATTATATTATAATTATATAACTTTTCACATTTTAATGATACAGGTATAATAATATACACATTTTTATAAGTTTTTTTCATTAAAGAGTACGCCCATATAATAATATTTATAAGTACAATAAATATACAATTATATATCAAAATAAAAGTTATAAAAAAAATAATGAAAATTGTTTTAGTAATTATAAAATGTGTAAACCGATAAAATGATCAAAATTAACTGTAGTCATTTTGCCAGGAAACTTGTCTTTCATTTAGGAAATAGTCAGCTAATTCTTCACAAATTTCTTTTGCTACTAAAGGCGATCGACGAGCAACGTTTCTTAAATCCAGTAATGAGGTTCTATTTTAATAGTCATCATTTCTCCATGAACCATATACCAACTCGCCGTTTACATAATAGTCCATACTTCCATGTGGTGAGTAAATATTTGAAGAAGTAGTATTCCTCCTTAAAAAATTATAAAGATATGCAACTGTTTTTACAATAATTTAAGTATTTTCTAGCTCCAACAGGATCGGTTTTCGAAGTACACGAAAAATCTAATGAGCCCAAGCAATGGGGGAAGTTCCCATTTTCTTCAAACTGTCCTTCAATATCTAACCAACCTTCTTCTGTGGATGGTATCTAAAAGATCAATCATTTATATATTTATAACAACTTTATTAAGCGGACTGCCCACCATGCGGGTTGCCAAAAGACACAGTATACAAAGTTCAATATTGAAATACATAGGATTGTTAAAAATTATAAAATTATAGTAAATAAATATACAAATAAAATTGCTGTACGTTCCAAATGGATGAGACATCTACTGGGTAGAATTAATTAAGATTTAAATAAATAAAAAAAAAATACAGATTAAATATTGAATAAGAAGATAAAATAAAAATAAATAAAGTTTATACAGAAGATAAACAATGATATTACGGTTTACGAATATAAGTGGTAGTTTATAATATTGAGTGTATCCCTTAGAATACACAAACATATTTTTACTAGATCAGAGATGTTTAGTCCATGGGTTCTGAAAAAATTTCTCAGAAAGCAAGATGCGGTTCCTCGGATCCCAAACCATAAACCCACGACGTCCCAGTTGTTAAAAATGTTAACATTTTTTTAGGTATACTATGTGATAATAATTGTGTACATAATACTAGGTACTAAGTTATTATTTGAAGAGTATATTCTGAGCTATTTCTATACAGTTGAAATTTTTGATTTTCTAATTATTTCTTTTTAAATTTAAATAGAAAAAAGTTTCTACGATGAGGAATTTTTTTTTAAAAAAAATAAAAAAATAAAACCGTTTAATAGTATACGCTTGAATTTATAATTTTTTTAATTTTATTATCGTAAAAATTTAAAATTTATACGCTCGTAAAAATTTTTTTATTGACTTACTCTCAATTTTTTTTATGAATATTGTAAGCAAAACTTATGTATGCCTTGTACTACATTTTCAGTTCTTAGCTATGAATACAAAAAAAATTATACATTTTGAACTACTAAATAGTAGGCAAATATTCGTGATTTTGAAGAATTTTGTCAATATTTGAACTTAAACGCTTATAAAAAAATTGTGCCTATGTATTTTGATCATTTTTGAATAACTCATAGAATAACATATGTATAACCTTCTATTAAATTTTCAAGTATTTTGACTTAGCCAAAAAATTTTAATCGACACTTATAAAGAAAACAAAAAAAACGAAAATTTCAAATGCCTATAGGTAAATAGCTGAAAAATCAACGAAATATTTTGAAAAAAAAAAATATGTTAAGAAAATATCACTTTAAAAGACTGGCGGAAGTTTCAAATTTCTACGTCCGTTCAGAATTTAAAATTTAGTAATCCAAAAAATCAATCAATTCTATATAATGTTTACATTTTTAGTTTACTTTGACGTTATAAAACATTAATATTATAAAATAAGATACAAATAAATAAAAATTAATTAATATTACCTGTAGGTATATCATATTTTAGTACCTACTTCAGTTAGAGCTCTACAGACTTCTGGAACTATTTGACTGATAACTTGTTTGGATACTCTAAAAAGGTATTGTAAACTACTATAGTGATCGCCTGTTGCCAAAAAGCATAAAGTTATTGACAGTCTCTCTTAACGGTAATAGATTTTCTCATGAATGTGTCCTGTTTGGCGATTTTCGGCCCAATCAAATTAATCAAGTATTCAAAATCAATTGGTGACATTTGAGTAAATTTTTTGTATTGTCCACTTATAGCTTGAAATTTCAAAATCAGTCAATAACACGTTTCCACTATGTTCGTCTCTGCTTTTAAAAAGTTGCGTCTTCTTTGTTTTCATTTTTTTTTTAATGCGTAATGAATATATATATATGCTGCAGCACTAATTTGCAAATTAGACATTGGTAAAAAAAAGTTAAAATTAAAATTGTCAAAAAACGTACTACCACTGCAGAGAACCACAGTAAACTGAAGTTACACCAAGCAGTGTGCTCAGAAAATAAATTAATAACATGGAACACTACGCAACATCGCAACACCTACAACACACAAATAATGATATCGTTACACGGAACACGGAACACGTAACATTACAGATTTATGTTACACCGTTACGTTGCGCTCAAATGTTACTAGTGTGTACGCGGCTTAATATGCCTCACCTATACGTAGACAGCTGACATACCGTCCCCGATCGGAATCGTTTTTCTTATACAATGATATTATATCATTGAATTCAAATTTAATATCATCCATTATACAGTGACCTACTTGTAACATACTATACAGAAGAACACCTTTTTTTTTATGGATATCAATAAAAATTTATTTGTTGAGTAAAAATACTTGAAAATTTAATACAAGGCTCCTACTATATTGTTTTAGATGAAAAATATTAAAAATCCTTAGGCACAGTTTTTTTTTTATAAGCATTAAAAGTCCAAAAATTGACAAAATATGGAAAAATCATGAAAATTAACAAATTATTTTGAGTTGAGAATTCGTAAAAATTTTTCTTTTTAAATCTAAGATTTTAAAATGTGATACAAGATTCCTTATAAGATTATCTACCTTTATCAAGAAATAAATGTCTATAAGAAAGTCAAATTATAATAAGTAATAACACGACAATATGATTATGTATAAGTATAATATTATATAATAACGTACAACTGGACAATTAAACTGTGACTGTACACACACACCCCGTACACTCGGTAAGACAGCGTCTATGCAAGTGACTATTACATAGGTACATCAAAAGCCCTATTTATATGAACAATCGAGGCCATCCCGTATTCCGGTATTCGTATATAATATAGAAAGCGCTAGTAAAGGTGTTGCACAGCTATATCGTAACTGCATAAGTATCTATTAGAAAACGACATCGTACACGCACGTGTGTTTACATGATTTGAATACTAATATTAATTGTATATTCAACAAAAACAAAATGATTAATTATTATATAGTATAAAGATAGACGATTAAATATAATTTATTTTAATTTATTATTATTGATAATTATGATAATATTGAAAAAAATATTTCATTTTAAATTATATAGCTATATGCGAATATGTGATAAAAGGTATGTCTGTAAAATAAAAATAATAAACTTGAAATATTTATTAAAAAAAGGGAGCTTCCAACACTATATTATTATATACAAATATACAATATACCTATATAGTAGGTTTCTAGTCCACCTAAACAGCCTACATCGCTATTGAGTAAGTCACCGTTGTAATGGATGTGTTCAATTTGAATTTAATTATAGATCATTGCTTCAAAACCATCTGTCAACATAAACATATTTTATTATACGTATATTGGTACGTATATGGCATTTCTGTAAGTAATTTATTTTTCTATCAGTAGTTAGGCGGGTTGAACTAATTCTTGTCAAAAACTATATTTATATATTATAAATTTAAAATTTAAAATTATAATATTATTTTATACGATATTACTAGATGATGTTATTATTATTTATTACCTATTCAATTTATAGTGAATAGGTTTGAGGTAGGTATGCAAATAGCATAGAATGAATCTAAATATTTTGAAAATTGCCTTGCGTGCCTATGTTTCATGTTGACTGGTACTCAATAGGGTGTCAATAAATTAATTATAAGTCTCCATATTAGAGTAAACTAATGGCATTATTTTAAATCCTCAATTATTTGAATAAAATTATTTCTTGTTATAAGAAACAAATTATTGTGACGTGAAATAAAGGTGCTCTTAATTATTCCACTTACATTACCTGTACAATATACAACAACCTGTTCGTGTTAACATGAATAATATTGAAATGTACAATGTACATATGTAATGTCATTGGAAATAAATTGGCCGTATATTATATTTTCAATTTTGAACAATATTATACTATTTTGTTGTCATGGAAATATTCATTTGGATGTTTATTCATACGTCCGATTACATATTATTTTGAATCAGCTTATATTTCGTAATGAACCACTTCTCGAATTATAGTATTTTTCATAAATATAATTTAATAATAAATTTTTGAATGCATTACTTATATCTCATAGTTTAATATTTTTATTCTAGAGGTCGTAAGATTTTGTTCCGGACGAGGCAGTCGAAAACACGACTATAGTATTTATAGCCGTGGCCAAAAGTGATGGCGACGGGTTGGAGCCAGCGACGACTAAGATCCAAGTAAAGTCATCGGTGACTGAACAGGTTAATGCTCACGTGATACCGGTTAGAATCGAGTTGTTAGAAATTA